CTGATTATTCCCATTACCTGATTATTACCAGTTATCTGATTATTCCCATTACCTGATTATTACCATTACCTGATTATTACCAGTTATCTGATTATTCCCATTACCTGATTATTACCAGTTATCTGATTATTCCCATTACCTGATTATTACCATTACCTGATTATTACCAGTTATCTGATTATTACCAGTTATCTGATTATTACCAGTTATCTGATTATTCCCATTACCTGATTATTCCCAGTTATCTGATTATTACCAGTTATCTGATTATTCCCATTACCTGATTATTCCCATTACCTGATTATTACCAGTTATCTGATTATTACCAGTTATCTGATTATTGTGCGCATGTAACCGTGCTCAATGAGTATTTCCTGTTATTGATCATTTCTCCTCCTCCTCCTGCTCCCCCTCCTCCTCTCCCTCCTGCTATTCCTCCTCCTCCTCCTGCTCCCCCTTCTGCTCCCCCTCCTCCCCCTCCTGCTCCCCCTCCTCCTGCTCCTCCTCCCACTCCTGCTCCCCCCCTCCTCCTGCTCCCCCTCCTGCTCCTCCTCCTGCTCCTCCTCAGAGGTAACTCAGTAACTTTTACTTCACTACATTTATCTGACAGGTTCTGATCAACAATTAATGATGATCACAGATGAATCCACCCAGCAGGATATGACGTCATGAAACTGATCAACACGATCACGGATCAATAACATCATATAGATTACTCTGCACAGATACTGTGACTGTAATCAGACTACTTCCCCCACCTGTGTTACCGGTTGTGTGTCGTCACTTTTCAGACTTATTGAAACATTTCCCGCCACATCACAGGAAGTGATCAGCTCTGTGTATTGATTATTGATCGAGCTCAGCTGATCGATAATCTGTGTGATGGTTCATGGCTCACCGGACACGTTGATCTTCCCTCCCAGGAACCAGCTGATCCTCCCGCTGCTGAGCTCGCAGTCCCGGACCCGATGAAACGGTTCCACCCAGCGGAGCCTGTCCGCCGCGGCGGAGCCCCAGAACTGATCCGGGTCGGTCACAGAGATCCGGTACAGGTCCCGGTGTGAGAGCCGGGACAACCGGGAGCTCCAGGTGCCCGGTGGAGGCAGCGGCGCAGGGTCAGCAACGGAGAACAGGCAGCGGCGGTGTCCCGGTACCGTGCTGCTGTGGCCCGGTCCCGGAGTCCCGCTGCGGGTCAGGAGGGTCCTGAGGAGTCCGGTCCTCCTGCAGCCGTGAACCGCCATGCTGATCCTCGGCATCCAGAACTGAGACTGACACACACACACTCAGAGAGAGAGAGATACACACACACACACACTCCTCCAGGTGTCACCAGGTACGGAGCAACTTTAATGTCAAAACTCTGCGAACAGTCACGTGACCTCTTATATAAATGTCATCCTGCCTTACTACTGAGCACGTGACTGAGACACTTTTATGATATCATAAAAATAATAACACAAATAAATTATTTTTTTGAGTGTATAACTCAGATTTGACTGTGATTGACTTTTGGCTTCAAACACAAGTTACTGAAATGTTTTTGGTATAAATAACAACAATAAATAACAACATTAAATAACAATAAATAACAACAATAAATAATAACATGAAATAACAACTATAAATAATGGCATTAAACAATAACATTAAATAACAACAATAAATAATAACATGAAATAACAACAATAAATAATGGCATTAAACAATAACATTAAATAATAACAATAAATAACAACATTAAATAACAATAAATAATGACAATAAATAATAACATGAAATAACAACAATACATAACAACAATAAATTATGGTATTAAATAATAACATTAAATAACAACAATAAATAACAACATTAAATAACAATAAATAACGACAATAAATAATAACATGAAATAACAACAATAAATTATGGCATTAAATAATAACATTAAATAACAACAATAAATAACAACAATAAATAATGGCATTAAACAATAACATTAAATAACAACAATAAATAACAACATGAAATAACAACAATAAATAACATTAAACAATAACATTAAATAACAACAATAAATAACATTAAATAATAATATTAAATAATAACAATAAATAATGACATTAAATAATAACAAAATAACAACATTAAAATAACAATATATTTTTTTTTAATTTATTTTTTTTATTTTATTTTATTTTATTTTATATACTTTA